AGATATATAACTTGCAATAAATTATATATATAATAATCAATATAATAATACTATACTTTATATTAATTATTAATAATTAATAATATTAATATTAATATATTAAAATAATAATATATATTAATAATGATAATAACTAATATTAATTATATATATAAATAAAATATATATTATAATAATAACAATAATAACAATAAATATTAATTATATGTTATATATATTAATATTTATTATTATTATTATATATTATTTATATATATATTAATATGAGTTATTATTATTAATATTATTAATGATTAATAATTAATATAATGTATAGTATTACTATATATATAGTAATTATTATTAATACACATAAATAAATAAATAAATTTATAGCATGACCATCCTCTCGATTCGTTAATTCAGCATGCAAAAACTAGGTTTCCTACAATTTTGCTGTCTCAGACGAATGCGCATGAATTTCGAGAAAGAACGAATGGATCTCCGTGAAATTTAAAGTTGAACAGCGGCTAATTTTTGTGCTGTTGGGTTCTGGTATCGAGCATGAATAACACAAGAGACCGATCGTGAATCTCTCCGTGCGGAGAGCCGAGCGGAAACATGATTTTACAAACCGGCGTATTGGGAGACGAGCATTCCTGCCGCCGATTCGAGCGTGTTGGTCCGTAAATCGTCGGCTGAGGCCAGTCCCAGCCAGTAACGATCCAAATGCCGGCCGATCATGCTCGCGGACATGTTGTTCTCGCTGTACGACTCCACCACCATCAGTTCGCTGCCGTACCTGCAATCGTACATCAATTCGTCGATCTCTCGCTCCGTTCTAGCGTGTAATAACGCGACTGCAAAAGTCCATCGCGGCGCCTCTGTTTCTTATCGTTTGCCTCGTTCCCCGCGGAACACGTGGAAGAACAGTAAAATATTCGCTCGGATTCGCTTCCGAACGCTTCCAACGTTTCTCTACATCCGATCAAAATAGTTCTGCAAAAGATTCTGGGACAATGCTTCATCAAATTATGCTTTGCTCGCGATATTAACAAATTGTGTTTCATATTTATATTTCTGCAATTTAAAATACCATATTTTACGACATGGGGTAGCGAAGGCGATTATTACCGGGGGCACCAATTACCGTGCCTTTGATCTGCTTTCTCGCGCAATTAACTTCGTATTTATCGTGCAGAATGTATTACATTTTTTGATTCCTTTATTTTGTTTATTTTTGAATGAAAAAGATAAATATGTGTTATTCGATAAATAGGAAGTCGATTAAACAGTGAACAAAATAGAAGAATGACAAAATTTTGAATTTCTTCTTTGATAGATATAAGGATAATTAAAAAATGAATAAAGTAAAAGAATAAAAGAATTTTATATATAATAAAAGAATATATAATAAATAATAATAAAAGATAATAATAAATGTAATAAAAGAATTTAAGTGAGAAGAAATTCTATTTTTTTTGTGTATGATTCGTTGAAATAAATTTGTATATTTTTTCCAGTGTTTTAAAGAACCATTTATTTTGTCGTTAAAACAAGGAATCAATCGGCCGAGCTTGAAAAAATTAATGAACGTCGATCTTTTACGAGAATATCAACAATTTTTGCAAATATCTTCTAAACTAAGATCGCATTTGTGAAAAAAGTAGCAAAATCACATGACTTTTTCATGATCCCCTGATCTGTGTTTCTTCTTCTCAGTTTAAAATACTGCCTTTAACGAGAAAACCGAGAAGATATTTAACAAAATGGAAATTGGTTTTACAATTTTTAAACACGATGCAGAAACATATGCAGTTTATTGCTTAATAGTTTCATAAAATATTCATTCAAAGAGTGAATCAAAAAATAGAAAGATATGCATGTGTGAAGAGCTACAATGACTCCCATTAATATTCGGGGACACCTTCTAAAACATTTTATTAAATTCTAAAACCTATCGCACCATTTAAAATTTTTATCCTAAGCTCAGATAAAAAAGTTAGAAAACGAGAGTCCTTTACTTTCTTTGGTCATTCGAAACGTTGGCAAAATTGACAAAATAAGAGCACTACAATCATTGTCTACTATAGATCAACACTTCTATCATCTAAAAAAAATTCGAGCCATTTAGTCGAGTTTGAAGAAAGTTAGGCCCAGTATCAGCGGGAATCGCTGTACGTTGTAAAAGTTCGAGCTACCAATGGCGCTGGAAAATATTTGTCGTATTAGCCGGCTTGTGCTACTAACAAAGTTGAAATCACGCCGTGCAGAATACTTCTCACGTTTACGATCGAAGGATGATAGAAAGCGTGCGTAAAAACGGAGACGATTTGTAGACACGTCAAGCGATGCGAGACATTGCAGCGCGGACTTTATTGTTAATTACTATAGATGATTGGACCACTTACCTTCTGCATAGCTCCGCCGCTTTTCCCCAAGAGTGCCTGATGTTGAAGAATTTGTAGCAGTGTATGCCCCTCAGTTCCCATCCTGTTCAACAACGAATCGCCTCATTTAGTTTCAATTGTGTGCTAACAGTGTGTGTGTAGCATATGAAATAGAGTGGCACGTCAGTGAAACGACGAGGCAGGTCTTTCCATTAACCCGAGAAAGATAACCTACGTCGCAGAGGCGCCTGCGAAATGAACATATTGCTATCTAATTTTTCATAGAGGTCTAGTGATTTAAGTTTAAAATTACTTAAAATATAAAAAAATATAATATAAATGCATTTTATTTTTACAATAATGCCAAACCTTTAAAATGACTAGATTAACTTAAATAAATATCCATTGTTAGTATAAAATTGACGCCTTAGAAAAGCATGCGCCTCTGAAGCGTATGGTTATCTTTTACGTACGTTGTCATATGGTTATCTTTCTAGGGTTAAACGAAATTGACTATTCTCTTCGATGAAATTTTTCTTTCGAAAATGCAGAAAGCACACATTTTCATCTAGCCGACGAAAGTACGCTTTCGCTGTTAAGTAGCGTAGGACGCCGGCAAAAGATCGTGGATCAACTTTTGACACGTCAATCTAAAGAGGAGACTTCCCTCTGCAAGACCGCGGTATCGCAAACGTGGAAAACAATTATGCGAACCTCGGATAGCCACTTGAATTCACCGTTACAGGAGCATAAGGTTGCGTAGAGTAAATATTAGTATGTAACTGTTTACTTTAGTTTGTTTAAACTTAAAATAAGTAAAAATCACAGGAAAAATACATAAGAATGTGTAGTTCTTTTGGAATTTTTATGGAAAATATTTTTCCCAATGGACTGTGAAGGTGACACAAATTATGGTGTCACTAATAATCAACGATCTCGAAAACCCCTGGATACTAATTTTTGCCTCAATTACCGTTTTCTCATTGATTTGTTCACATTTTCTCCGCATTTTGAGCATTTCGAATCACTGTGCGTCGTCTTCCATGATTAATCGATTGGTTATCGATTGATTTCGTACGTATCGACAATATTTATTTCACGAAGCTTAACAAAAAACTATTTCTAACATTTCGGAGAACAAAAGTAAATTTTATTCGGTGTCGCTATTGTCGCTTTCGTAATTTAAAACAATCAACTATTTCTTTTTGGCAGAAAATCATCGTTTTCATCAGTTGAATCATTTGGTAGTTCGACGTCATTTTCATGGTTAAAGTTAAATTTTTCGGACGACTTTTTCTCAATATTTTCTTTCGCACTAAGTTTTCACGAATCTGCTGACATTCGCTGCATCATTTCATTAAATTTTGTCCATCCAATTTTCCAAAAAATAATTAATTATTCGTATTTGTGAAAGTGGTTCCCACGAAGGGCGAATGGAGCCAGCGGCCTATTTCAATTATTTCAGGCGTTCGTGGTTTCTTCGCGATCGTATAGGATAAGTGTATCAATTACTGTGCCAATTAGAGCAACGTTCGGAGTTTCCGACAAATTAAATAGCTTTTTTTGCCTATGTATATCGCACATCTTGAAACATAACAAACGTATTTTATATGAGTACGAATTTTTTCATAATAATAATATATAATTAATAATGTAAATAAGGCAAAATATTTAACAAAATACACGAAACAATTTTCGAGCGAATTACGGCGCCCTTGAAAACATGAGAAGTTCATTACTGCGTGCTAACAGCCTTTTCTAATTACTGCTTCTCGATTTCCGTACACCGATCTAATTACTGTGCTTCAATTACTGTGATCAGTTCTAGGTAAATAAAATCCTACAACAAAAATAACGAAACATGAAATATTCCGTATTAAATGATTTAGCATAATTGATTATATATGTTTCAAAACTTTACTTTACTTTAAATAACAAAAATATATATCTAACAAATTAATTATATAATATTATTGCTTTTCCGTAATTTAGGCGAATACTATGTATTGAATAATTTCATTTTTTACTCTTTCCGGAAGCAAAGATCTTTTACTTTCTTCATCTTTATTTGCAACGTGTTTCTTGAGACCTTTAACAAGTTCAAAGCGAAAACATATCAAATCATTATCAGAAACTTAAAAAGTTTATTTCCGCATTTTATAGGTATTAAGAAATTTTGAAGCAGCTATAAAAATTACGGATCAGGATCTATTTAAAAGATTCAATAGATTTAATTGATTTAAATACAAGTAATTTTTGAATATAAGAATAATATAATAATATAAGATAAGAATATAATTAATAATATAAGAATATAAGATCTTAATAATATAAGATATATATAATCTTAATAATATAAGAATATATTATATCAATAATATAAGAATATATTATATCAATAATATATAATTTTTTTCAATAATAAAATTATTGCGTGGTCACAGTAACCAGAGGGTTGGGGGCACAGTAATTGGCACGCTTAGCCTACATTACTCAAATCGGAACGGACAAAGGGCGTCTAGGGTTGCTTCTCGAAAGACTATGGTTTCCCCATGGGGAACCAGTTACGCGGCGCCGCAGATCAATTCGCAACGGACGGAGCCTTCGAGGTGGCAGGAAACGCGGTTAACCGGTGACCTGTACAGACAGTGACGGACAGAACGACCTCGATCGTTTTTAGTGCGACGCACCGTATGCGAGTCAAAGGTAGGTCGGTGGGTAAACGGGTAACATTGTAAAAGAGAATCCGTCGCCCCGAGTGAAACGTCCTCGCGTGCTCGCTGTGTTGACCGTTCGAATTGAGAAGTCGCGGACAGGTTCCCGGTGCAAATAGAATTTTTGCATTCCGAGCCGAGAACTTTCTGCGACCTTACGCGAGAATAGCGTGCCCGACAACCGACGCTTGGAACGAAAGTGTTGATTCGCTTTTCAACCGGCTGAATTTTTGGTGTCGCTTGCAATTCACACCGAAAGCTAGATGTCGATGTACATTCGATCAGACTGAAAGCTAGAGTTCATCCGATGAAATTGAAGACTAGAGTTTGCCCAATAAAATTGGAAGCTTAAGTTTGTTGGATCAAATTGATGATGAGAGAACGCAAACAATTGACTTGGTAGCTTGTGTTCAGTCATTTTCGACCCTCATCCCTTCCTCGCGTCAATTTGATACTATATATTTTTTTTCAAGTTTCAGAATATATTTGTTACTCTAGAGTATTCATTATATTAGCAAAATTATATTTAGATTGTTTTATTATTATATTTTATTATATTTAGTTTACTATATTATTATATATTTTATTATATATTTAGTTTAAATTGACTCCGTATCAATTATTAATGTTGACTTCACGTCAAATTGACCCAGTATCAATTATTAATGTTGACTTGATGTCAAATAAAAGCCGCATCAACTATTAATGTTGATTTGACGTCAAATAAAAGCCGCGTCAATTATTAACGTTGATTTGACGTCAAATAAAAGCCGCGTCAATTATTAACGTTGACTTGATGTCAAATTGACTCAGTATCAATTATTAATGTTGACTTGACATCGAGTCAAAGCCTCGTCATTTATTAATATTGACTTGACGCGAAATAAAAGCCGCGTCAATTATTAACGTTGACTTGATGTCAAATCGACTCAGTATCAATTATTAATGTTGACTTCACGTCAAATTGATTCAGTATCAATTATTAATGTCGACTTGTGTGTGTGACGTCAAATCAAAGCCGCAACAACTATTAATATTAATTTGACGTCAAATCAAAGCCGCGTCAATTACTAATGTTGACTTGACGTAAAATTAACTCTGTATCGATAATGCTACCACTACTGATATGGAGCCTGTCTATCGACAAGTCACCACTATTGATACGGATCAATTTTTACGTCACGTTATCACTAGTAATATGAAAACAGTGATCGCCACTTGAAGACTGAAGGAGTCCAAAAAACTAATCCATTAGCTCGAGTTCATTGAGTTCATCGATTTTAGGTTGAAGAGTTCAGTTATTGATTTTCACAATAGGCTTTCTCGAGAGAGAGAGATGCAACTAGATAGTTATAGATGATTAGGATATTTGAGAGAGAGAGAGAGAGAGAGAGATCGAGAGATGCATTTGAGAGATGTTTTCGTGAATTCGTGAGATTATGTGAAAAAATGGGGACGCGAACAGCATCGAAGTGACACACGGATGTCTAGGAAACAGGTATCTCAGTCTGGCTACCGAGAAATCGATTGGTGTCATGAGAGATCGCAGACTATCCTACTTGTTCCACGACTCCTCGCGAGGATGACGCCTCGGAAATCAAAAGTGCCGCGGATAACCGTGATTCTTTTTGCGGAAGCTCGACTATCTTGCTATTTATGCGCTCAGTAGGTTGTCGTGAGTCATTCATCTTCGTAGACATTCATGGACACATTATTTCCGGATGACCCAGTGAATACAACAATGGAATATTGGCGCGATAACTCTGTACATTAAAAATATTATAATAGGTCAGTTCGTGACAGAAGTTTCGGTTATGGGCTACCGGGAAAACTGTACATATCGTCATTCGAAATAGATTTCTTTAAATATTATTTATACGCATCTTTTTTTCAGAAAGATTTAATAATAATTAGTCATTAATAATCATTAATGACTATTTATACGTCATCGATAATCATTAGATTTAATAATAATCATCATTCGAAATGGATTTTTCTAAATGTAATTTATACATATTATTTTATAGAAAGATTTAATATTAATGAGTAATTAATAATTATCAATTACTATTTATACCTCATTGATAATATTGAGATTTAATAATAATCGTCATTTGAAATATAATTTTCTAAATGCTATTTGTATATATCATTTTCCAGATGGATTTAATAATAAATGAGTAGAGTGCGGATTTTATGCATTTATAGTAAAACTATGGTAAACAGAATATTGAGTAGTGAAGACATGAGAAGAATTTACGAATATTGTTGGATTATTTCCACTTTATTAAAAC